CCAGAAGTCGAACAATCCGGAGAGCTCGAGCTCTGATCTCCCTCCGGAATCGGGGCTTTTCACCCTCGGATTTGAAAATTGCGGTGAAAATGGTTTTCCGCCGACGAGCGTCGAAGCCGGCCTTTCACTGACTCATTGCCGTGCGTCGCCTTTTGCCCCCGCGCTCGGGCCATCGCCCCCCTTTGTGCGCGTACGCAGCCACCCTTCCCCGCCCCGCCCGCGGCCCGCGGCACTCCCCGCTGCGTCTCGTAAATAGCGCCCGCGGTGAGGGGAGGCTGGCTGGTGACGGAGAGTGGTGGCGTGGCGCGGCGTCGCGTCAGAATGGTTAGGGGTTGAAAAAGCGCGAGCTTCGTCTGGGACGGGGGAGAATAGAGGGGATATTATTTTGGACGTCCAAACTACTGATTTCGCTTTCCTCCTTTGAAAACTCCCCGCCGGTGCTCCGCGCCGCGCCGGCCCCGCTCCCTCCCCGGAGCAAGCCGATCTCTCCACCCGGGCTGCGAGCGAAACTCGATCCTCGGCGAGCAGGGGCCGCTCTCCTGGAGGGTGCCGGCCAGCGGCTGTTGGCGGAGCGTTCCTGCGCGCTCTCCTTGAGCCGGCTTACTGACCTGTAAGTACGAAGGGCGTCCGGGAGACCCATGTTGTAAAGATGCTTGACTCTGTGCTCTGCCGCGGGGCGAGCGCGCGAAGCACATCGGCCACTCCACCATTGAAGTCTCCAGGTCGTGCTCGGGACCACCTCGCCGCTGCCGGCAGTGGCACCTGGATGGACTCTGCAAGCGCACTGTACGCGCACCCGCCCTTACTCCGTCGACGGCGAGCTGACTCGCCCCTGCTCGTGCCTCGGGGGTGGTGCGGCGCGCCCGGCCAGCTGCCCCTGCCTCAGGCGGAATGGACTCGCTGTGATTGACTGACAGATCCTCCAATGCCCCGCGGCGTGTCGTGGCGCGGCGCGGACGCAGCGGCAAACAGGGAGCGCTTGGAATATCTGTGTGCTTGACGGTCGCTGTATGTCGCGCCTGGTTGCCTGGGGGGTGGGTGCAGCCCCGGCCCCGGCCCTGTCGTTCGCCTAGTGTGTGTTTGGTGTTTGTACCGACAGTTGTATTTCACGGTGGCCACTGCGACAACCAGCTGCACCCGGGCGTCGCGTTCGGTACTATGTGGACTTAGATAAAGAGTAGAAAATATGTTGCTTCTTTCCTGAGGTTCTATATAGTAGTAATTCGAAATAGTAAAGCAAGAGGTTTATGGCAAGAGATTTTATTGTAACAAGAATATTAACATCGTTTCAAAAATATTACTTTACCCTTTATATTAAGAAAAACAAAACACACTCATCAATATGACTAGATAAAAATGCAAATGCCGTACTTACATTACACTTTCTTCTTAAGTTCCTGGCCGCTGGAGGTACATTTTATTACAAGGTATGTACGAACAATGTCAATTGTAAATCACTTTCACAAAATATTTATAAGGAGAACATGGTCCCAAAAAATACATTTTCTTTTCAAGACAACCAACGAATGATGCTTTGGACGGCATTCCGTAAACGTCTGTCACAATCCCATATGATCGGTAAGAAACATCGATAAAAAAGAAGGTATATGCGACGTGATGGTTAAGTTATATCACATTTAAACAAGCACTAATAATGCTCAGCTAAACACAAACTAAAAGTTTAACTTTAAAATTATATTAAAGAATATGTTCACTTCAGTGAAATTTCAATCTCACCCACTTTTAGCATTCTTCTGTAAAGTGTGCTACCACTTGAAACAAAGCCTCCTGTCTGATTCATGATTTCATAAATTATAAACGAATAGTATATTCCTTTCAGTTCATCTCGGAGAAAATTCAGAAAAACATCTGAAAGAATTCTGTTTCGTAGACATAGTGGTTGGTGACCCATAAGTTAATAGCGACGAACATTCACTAATTTCTCACTCTGTCAGCTCGCAGTCTCGCTGAGCACCGCCTCGCAAAACTTGGTAAACTCGGGGGTTCATCGAGACGATCGCGTCACCGCAGCACGGCCGTGCGCTGCATGCCGCCCCTGTTGAACAGCATCGTGGGGTGGCTGTTGAACCTGTGCTGCAGCCCGAGGCCGTGGCCGTGGCCGTGCACGTCGTGGAGGCCTCCGTGCTGGTGGAAGCCCTGCGCGCCGTACTGGAGGTACGAGTCCTCTAGCTCGCCGAACATGAGGCTGGCGGCGCTGTCCACGCTGTCGGGGCTGTACGAGGAGTGCTGCGGCGTCGGGGGTGGTGTGCAGAGCGGGGTGGCCGGCAGCTTGCACGGGCTGAGACTCGTGTAGTGGGACTGCGACCCGGGCGTGGACCCACCCTGCTCCGACTTGCAGGGGCTGCCGCTGCTGCCGCTGTACTGGGGCGTGACGGCGCCGTGCGTGGCGGCCTCCATCTTGCAGGGGCTCCCGTACAGCGGTGTCCGCGGTGCCTCCTCGGGCGTGTGGGGGCTGCCGTAGTGGGGCGTGCGCGAGGCCTCCTCGGGCTTGTGGGGGCTGCCGTACTGGGGTGCCGAGGCGCGGTCTGCTTTCAGGGGGCTGCCGTAGTGGGGCGTCGAACCGACGTCCGCCTTGAGTGGGCTGCCGTAGTGGGGCGTCGAGGCGCCGTCCGCCTTGACGGGGGTGCCGTAGTGGGGCGTCGTGATGCCGTCCGCCTTGAGGGGGCTGCCGTAGTGGGGCGTCAAAACCCCGTCCGCCTTGAGCGGGCTGCTGTACTGCTGCGTCGCGTCCATCGCGAACGGGTTGTGTCCCGGTGAGGCCTCCATGCCGGCGAGCAGGTCGTGCGGCGCGTTGTCCCAGCCCGCCGCGCCCAGCGGGCTGTACGGCAGGAACTGGTGGCCCGAGCGGCGCTGCTGCGCGATGGCGCAGCTGCCCGTCGTCGAGGTGATCATGTTGCCCTGGTCGCCGCCCACGGTGACGGTGACGCTGCCGACGCTGATGGTGACCGGCGTGGAGGCGCGGCCCTCGCGCACTGACTGCACGGTCTGCGACATGGCCCAGATGTAGTTATGCGCGAAGCGCAGCGTCTCGATCTTGGTGAGCTTGGTGTCCTCCGGGAAGGTGGGCAGCACGCAGCGGAGGCGGTCCAGGGCCTCGTTCAGCAGGTGCATGCGGTTGCGCTCGCGGTCGTTGGCCTTCATGCGGCGGCAGCGCTTCAGCCGCGCGACCTGCGGGAAAGGAGAGAGGGGTTAGTACCTGGCTGGTACAGCCGCGGGGGCGGCGGGGGGTGAAAGCGCGGAACAGGGTAGGGGGTCGACGCTCACCTGCGTGGGGCTCTTGGCCCGCGTGCGCCGTGTCCTGGTGCCGGCGCGCCTCGGCCGGCCCGGCTTGGACGCGGGGGACGAGTCCTCGTCGTGGTCGTTGACGGAGCTGCCGCCGCTCATGGCGCTCATGCAGCTCTCCTGGCCGCCATCCAGCGCCATGGCCAGCTCGTCCACGTCCACCTGCTCCATGTCCAGGAAGCTGTCCTCCATGTCGGATTGGTCGGAGTCCATGGCCTCCAGTTTGACGGCGAGGTCGGTGAGTCCCAGGCGGGTCATGAGCGACGCCAGGGCGGCTCGGTGCGGATGCTGGAGGGGTGGCCTGTGGACAAGAGAGAGAAACGCATTTAGCGACAGGTAGGTATACTACGCACGGCGGAGTCCTGGACTCTTGAGTCGCAGTCCCTTCCCTTTCGGGGCAGTTAGTTCTGCACGACCCTCGCCCTTATCTCCCGGGCGGCCCTCCCCTTCCGTGTGTGCCGACGCTGATACCATTAGGCCCCTATCGCGCCCCTTATCCTGCTTGTTCCCGGGTGTTGGGCGCGGATTAGAGATAGCGGTCGCTACGTGTATCGTGCGCCGTGTACTACCCTTCGGATCAAGCTCGTTGTTGGAAGTA